TTTCTTCTGTAAAAAATTTTTAAAAATTAAAAGCCGCTTTTTCTTACTCAGCTCGATGCAGTTTATCCAACGATGTATAAATAAACGGAAAAAAATCTTGCTCGAACTTTGAATTTCCGACACCTTAAAAATCAGAGGATACGACTACACTTCTCAACATATAACTAAACATATGAATATTAAAAATATGCAAATAACAAAGAATGCATGGATTTAGTATAGTTTATGGTGTAATAAACATTATTCCTAAAAAAAGAAACACACGATATCAAAACACGATATCTGCTAAAACACGAAATCAATTTTTCAAAAAGAGTAATAATATAAGCAAAATATTTTCAAACAAAAGCAAATTCTTCAAATATTAGAAAATGAGTTTTTTCTTCTCAAAAACCTTTGCACTAGCGTCATCGAAAAGTATTGTTTTTAACTTAATGCGAATAGAATGTCAATAATGCATGTATGATAATGCATCTGAGGAGATTAAACCTAATTTCGCCAATAACAGATAAAAGAACGCTTAAAAAAGGAAATTCACTTATGTTTTCTGTCTCAAAGTGTCAGAAAGAGACATTGAATAGCTAGCTCATTCTTTATTCAAACAATGAGAGAGTGAAAGTCTCTGCCGAATTTAATAGTTACTTCTTCTTCTCTCAGACAGTTCGATACACAAGTAGAACAGTTCTAGCGTAAGGAGAGAAAATGAGTTTTCCACCCTCCTATTTTCTTCTCTTGTTCTTTCACCTTATTCTTCTCTAAGTTCTGTGTGTATCTGCTGTTTTGTATTCTGTGCGTTTGTCACTTTTTGTGTGCCATCTTTCTCGTTCATTTTCTTATCTTTAGGCTAGACGGTAGAAGAAATGTATTGATACGACACTTGTTTGTCTGTGTCTTGTATGTCAGCCTCTCTATTATTCTAATTTTTTGTACTTTGTTTCTCTGTGGCTGTTGCCGAATTAAACTAAACTAAACCTTAAAAGATATAAAAAATTCCAACTGTGGAAAAATTGGAATTTGCTAATAATACTTTCTTTTTCAGCATAAATAGATATCTGGCCGTCTAAACTTGTCCTTTACACACGGCAATGATTCAAAAATCAGGTATTAACTAGCATCAAAATGTTGTGCATAGAAACAGAAACAAATAGATATCCGACCATTTGATTGAACATCAGGCAAAGATAAATAACTTTTTTTTATATTGTAAACTCAAGAAAATAAACAATGGTAAAACATTCATACACGAAGATAATAAGCTTCTTTTCATAATACAAATAATTGTCAGTGATGTGCCTGCCAAGTATCATTCTTTATTTTCCGTTTCTTCATTCAGTGACGTGACTAACTGTGAAGCCTCAACAAGGATAATCAGTAGGATATGTGTTATGTGATATTAATCATAATTAATAAGAGTTTACACTTTGAACATTGTTCGTATGATGAAATGAATTTATAACTAATAGATGTGTAAGTGCTTTAGTATTTGTTTACTTTTGAAAATTGAATCAAGCCTCTTAAATAAATGATCTGTCCGACATTGAAAGCATGGAAACCCTGCAGACAAACAGCTTTGTAACTGCTTTTATTACATGTAGTTGTTCACGACAAGCTATGATTGTTATTAATTTCTCTTTTCTTGCAAGGCAACAAAAACATTAGCTTTTCCAATGGTGACAATTATCAATTGGGAAGAATTCAAGAGAAGCTTGAAACTCGATGAAGTCGATCTCTATAAACTTTCCAAATTATATTTTTGTTCAATTAGTCAACATTGTTATTATAGTTTATTTTTAAAAAAAGTTGTGAAACTGTTAACTAGTTTATATCAAAACTGAGTCATATTTGTGGTGGAAACAGTTTAGAAATCTTAGTATCGTCATAAAATCTATCATTTGTGTCAAATAGCTATTTTCAAGCGTCAAACGATAAAGGCCTAAATGATTATTTGAAAGATCATTTTAACCTCAATTTTGTAGATTCGAAATATTGTTGTGACGCGACAAAATGACTGTCTGATGCACACTAGAAATTTTACGAGATATTTGAGAATACGCACTTTTAAGTTATATAAATAATTCCATTTGAATTTTTTATATTTTGAAACAGAAACGGATGATTGATTTCAAATCGAATGGCGACGCTTTTCCTATTATTGTGATCTAAAAACATTGAGCTATCAAACTAGAAGCTAAAAAGTCAGTATTACAGTTAAAAGATACTGAAAAATTTCACATGAGAACAAAAGTCACGTACTGCACAGACAAACATGGTCTGCTTTACTACAAAGTTATTTCCTGTTGCTCATCTTGGTCATGTTCTAGAGTCGTGTACTGTCAAAAGAATTTTCATTCAATAAGTCCGCTAAATCATCAACAACCTAAATCTGTTTCTTTAATGCTCGCATTTTCAAGAGAGAGCGAAATAAGCATAATAGTTTCTAGACTATAGGACTATTCTCCCACAACCTGCCGGATTGAACTAGAACCAACGTATCTAATTGTACAGATTGTATCAAATTAAAGAAAAAAACTTCTCGAGCTTTCCAAGAGGAAAAGGCTCTATTGAGAACTGTTGAAGTAGGTGATCGCTTGGTAAAACCCTTGATTTGTTTTCCTAGTCGAAGCTAACATCAGATCAGTTAGCTATTTTCTAAACAAATGAACCATTGTTCTGACACAGTCATCAAATCAATGTCGGCACAGTAGACACATAGCTTGAAATAGCGTACCGTAGTAAAAGTACTCATAACATGAGTACGATTACGCATACATTTGTGCATGAGCGCTCAAAAGTCGTACTCATATTTAATACTTTCGCATGAGTATTCCGATGAATACTAAATGAGTGAAAAAATGCATAAAAATTCGTCGCATTTTTCAGCAGAGCACAATTTGGGGTACATTCACCAAAATATCCATATTTATTAACTCTCTTGACCATAATCAGTCTTAAAACTCGAAAATACCTAGAAGACATAAAGGCCATTAGTGTCGTTACTTTTATCTGTGACTACGATACTGTCTTTATATATGTAAGCTCAATGAACAAATATCATTAACATTGTTGATCACAATCCCGTATTAGATAGGATTTAAAAATTGTTTTGATCTTAGATATATTATGCCTCCGTTAGACTTTTATCTGTTTCATACATACATCGTGAGGGTGTGTTCTATTCTTCTATGTTTCTGTCGATGTGTAAATTCCATTATGATTGGTCAGTTTTCGAGATGAGCGCTGTGTTCCGCGTTTGCGTCTCTGGTAATATAAATGAGAAACGGAGCACATTTTTTTTGAATATGTGCAAGCAAAGAAATTTTCAAAGACATGGGTGATTTCCATAAAAAATGTATACATTTTTGTTCCAATTTACATGACATGACATTAAACATGAATATAACACTGTGAAATGGAATACATTACGTGGATAAGTAGAACCCTTATTTGCATTCACAGTTGCTAAAACTAGGCGTGGGACAGTTGCCGTTACCGTTCCCAGTAACTGAAACCGGTGACCAGTTACTGTTTTCTTCATAATCAAGATGTAGAAAAGTTAATGCTCATCTATCCCGTTTTTTACACTGTAATAAACTCATCTAGTTCAGTTTCCATGTACAATACTGCCACGTTTTCCATAGAAACAATACACGTATAGAAAATCTTTATTCTACAGCCTTTAGTGTGGATGTTCCTATACTATGGGAAGCGCTTTTTACTGTTAAAAGGTATTACAAAGCAACAAACACCCACTTAGAGATGTAAAATTATGTCGATTTGAAGGAACAGTAACTGGTGACCAGTTCTCTTAATCAGTTATTAGAAACAATGGACCGGGAACTGTCCCACCCCTAGCTAAAATTATCTGAAGAAGAAATGCCATCTCTAACCAGATACCACTACGTTTGAAGTGCCAGTGCCGGACTAGTTTCGTTAAACAATATCGTGGAGTTTATTTCAAATGTAGTTAATCAAGAAATCACTCCAAGGATCAGTTTCTTTTTTAATAGTCTTCGATTCATCCTTCGAATGACCTAATACAGTTTTTGTAATAATAAAGAGTACTGAAACTTTAAAAATCAAAGGTACACTCTGTTTTGACTCAAATTTTGCTCTCTAACAAAATTTCAGACAATATAAGGCATAACATTTGACCTTTTGCACGTAAATGAATTACTTTAGTATTTGAAGGACGGTTAGACAGTAGTGTTGTGTATTTCTTAACTGTTTAATTCATTTTATGAAGTGTTAATGGAAAAAAATCACTGAAGTATGGAGCTCACAAAAAGACATTGGGAAAGAAGAATAAGAATGATTCCATGTATTCTGATGGAAGAAAAAGTAAAAACAGTCTTTATTTTTAACTTTAGACAGCAATATAAGAATGGTATTTTTTGAAATAGAGCTACTCCTCAAACCTCATGATCACAAGTTGTTTTTTTCAAACATGTACATTTGTTGAAAAACACAATGTGCGGATACACTCAGGGACAAAATTTTATTACAAAACTAGAGTGGCATCATTACATCTGGTAAAACCGATTAAACACGCTAAATCCTCTCTATCTTATTTTCAGATTATCATGCATTATTCGTCCTATTTAAGTGCAATATCGGCATTTATCGCCATTTTATTTCTAGTCGATCCGATTTTATCAAATGAGCTTACATTTGAATTGCCTGATAATGCGAAAGAATGTTTTCATGAAAAATTAAAAATCGGATCAAAATTCGTCCTGGAATTTCAAGTATAAATGGACAATGAATTATATCTTCTATCTTAATAAAAATTCATCTTATTTATGATTCAGGTTGTTACTGGCGGTAATTACGATGTTGATCTTGTCTTGCGTTCACCATCAGGAAAAGTCTTATATCAAGATACAAAAAAACAATATGATAATATTGAACAAACAGCCGGAGAAGATGGCGTATACGAATTTTGTTTTAGTAATGAATTTTCAACGTTTACTCATAAAGTTATTTATATTGATTGGCAAGTTGATGGAGATCTAGAACATGAAATAGTGGGACCCAATCCACGTGTTGCTGAGGGCGCGTTAACAATGGTAAGTATTCTATTATTAGTTTGTTACAGAAGATCTTAAAGTTCTTCTTGTTTCTGTTTTTGTTTTAGATTGAATCAAAAGTTCAAAATATTCATGAAGGTCTTAAATCTGTCATTGATTACCAGACTCATCATCGATTACGAGAAGCAACGGGACGAGCACGAGCCGAAGATCTTAAAGAACGTGTACAAATATGGTCTATAGGTCAATTTATATTAATAATAATTGTTGGTGTAGGACAAGTTCTTTTATTGAGATCATTTTTTACCGAGAAGAGAACATCCTCTTGGGCAACAAACAGATAAGATAAAAACAAAAAGGTGCTTAGGACAAGACGTTGAGCTAGGAAGATTTATTTGTATGAAGGAATTATTTATTTTATTTAACACAAAATACAACTTATTTTTTTGATTTCTTCTTAAGTTGCTTAAAAAATAGGAAAAAATGTTCACGCCATTCTCTTAGGAAACACTATGTGTTTTGCTTTCCTTTGTTCTAGCAGCCGAAAAACAGTTAATTGCTCTGTGTGTTCTCGTTTTATATGTCTCCGTTGTCGTTCGTAGCCAAATTGTTTTTGTATTATTTTCTGTTCTGACTTTTGTTTGTATTGTTTAAAAAACCCTGAAATAAACTTTATCGGAAAATCTCTTAAATGTCACATTGTTTGAACAAGTTCGCTAGTTGATTCTCTTTTTTCTTATTATTTTTTCTGTTCTCTTTTATTTTTTTTTGTTTTTCTTACTTTTTGTTATTATTCACATGAAATAAAAATCAATTATCTTTTCTTTCACAAACTTTTAGTTTGGAAAAAGATCAAACTCGTCTTAGACGTATATAAACATTTTTTTATTGACAGTAGGCATGGATTCAGAATAGGTACTGAAGCACGTACCTTTTGAGGAAAAAAATAATTTTTTCTAGCAGAACTGGCTCAAAAATTTATGTTTCTATGGCGACCGCATTTATCTCACACGCTTTTCACCTATCACACGTATTCAGAAATAATACTGGATTCGTCAGTGATCCGCACGGATGGGCATCGATGTTAAACGATAATCTGATCTTGTTCAACATGAAGGGATGTGCAATCACCTGATTTAACGCTAGTGAAACGAAGGCATCCGATATGCACTGGTAATGCCATAATGAAAATTGTTTTTTTTTTTTTGAGAACCAGGCTGTAAAAATGAAGTCTAATCAGAACGTCAGTTTATCGATTAACAATACTTTTACAAGAGCTAAAAATTTAAGACAAAAATTTTTTTCTTGACTGTTTATTGAAGAGTGTACGTATGTATTGTCGCTGTGTAACTTTTACTCGATGCTTTCCAGTATCAATTCTTCATCTAAAAGTATAATTATGAGAAGGAATCAAGTATATTTGCGATGTATGGTTTCCATTAAAATGCTAAGAATATTGACTAATCATGTATGAAAACTGACAGTTATTGAATATCTTCCTATTCCTCAGCATAAAGCTGTTAGTCTTCAATAATTTCCCTAGAACTACTCCTATTTCAATAGTACATGTTGCTATGTAGTATCAATTATAATTTTAAAGACATATGTCAATATATATATATGTTCGTGCATGTTGATCAAAGTGAACGGAAAAAAAAAGAACATTTTGTCTTTTAGTTCGACGTAGGAAGGAATATGAGGTGCGCGCTAAAGTATATTTTTCTTTTCCTGTACATACTATTGTTTCGATTTTTCTTTTCGTGCTATACTTGGTGTTTTATTAATTTTTATTCCTTATCTGCATATGACGTGTAACGTCCTATTCCTCTTATTATGCGTGGAAATGATTGAAAAATCAATGATTACTATTTAAATTACAAAAAAGAAAAGGAAATCGCTATTAAAATGTACTTTTTTGTTTGAAATGACCATTTTACTCTTGTTTTAGAATATTTAACATTAGACGTTTCTCTCGATGAGGCAGTCAAAATTACATTATATTGAACAGATTAAACAACAGCATCATATTTGTGGACAACGATGTATTATTTGATCATATTTGTTCAGCCTTTGAAAGGTATTGTTTTAATTGTCTTGAAAAAGATAGTCGATTCTTAGAGCGTTCCTTTTAATGAATAAAAGTATGAATATGATAACAGAAGAGTCTAATTCTAAAATATGAATTTCTTCTTTCTTTCTGTTTCATTTTACTAGAATATAATTTTTACTTTATAATAAATAGAATTCTAATATATCTTATTCCTTGAATGCTGCCAATAATTTTCTAAAATGTAAAAATTGCGATATTTTAGTGGTAAAGAAATTTAATCTAATCTTAGGATATGTGGATGTTTCTGCATGAAAAAAGCGAAATTAGGAAAAAGTTTTGATGCACTTCTTATTTCATTTAAAATCTTAACAAACACTGTTTATGTTGTCTGTACATAAATGTGTGTAAAGTTACCTGTTGAAGATGATAAACTTGATCCTGATTAAATATCGATCACTTCTATATACTCGATGTGTTTTAATGTAACTGCATATAACCGTTTAAACAAACATAATAAATCGAAGAATCAACAACATGTAAGCGTTCATAAAAAAAAAGAAAATATATATATATATATATATAGACAAAATGTTCATTATATTAATATTTAAGAAAATTGAGATTATGAGAAGAAGAAAAAGAAATTTCAAATTTTATGCTTATGTGGATGTTGAAAGAATGCTTTTTTTTCTTCTTTCACTTGCTTCCGGTCGGTTTGACGTTGTCTATCATATTATATTATTTTCTTTTTTTTTTTGTTTTGTTTCGATCTATGCAAGAAAGTAAAAACATCATTTGTGTTGAAAAAAACGATCAAAATTTTTTTTTATGCTACATTTTGTCTGATAAAAAGTCAAACAGGCATACTCATTATTATTTAACAAGGTCAAGGATTGTAATGATCAGTTGTTGTTGTCATCATCATACTTTACGCCATGTTTATCATTGTTATTAGAAAGAAAAACGGTCATTGACATTGTGTCAAAGTTATAATTTACTAAGGGTCTCCATGTATCGTTTGTTTTATCTTTATTTTTACAACAAAAGATATTCGAAGCTCAATAAATTTGTTGCATTTGTTTGTTACATTGCTCATGTGTATACCAGCATGTTTCTATCTAGTCGAAACTTTTATTTATTAGTATTTAATTGCCTGAGTGTGTATAGGAAGTGTTTTTGACTATCATGAAGCGAAATATAACCGGAAAATAATGCATCAACAATAAGAAAAAAAAAGCATGACAAGAAACAAAAAAAAAATAGAGAAATCTGCTAAAAAATTTTCTTTTCCATGTTCTTTTGTGTATATATCTAGATGTGATATATTATTTATATGCGTATATGTGCATCAGATTTTTACTTTAACATTTGTTTTTGATTGTTGTTTAGTTAGGGATTTAATGCACTAATGGATGGTTCACTCATTGATTCTCATCATCGTGTATCATTGTCTATATTACCAAATATTTCTCCTGATATAAATAGCGATCATGGATCGCGTTTATCAAGTGCAAACACATCGGCGGAAGGATGTGTTGATAATAATCAAAATGGAGTAAAATTTAAAAATAACAACGACAATAGTGCATCAAACAACGAAATGGCGAAATCGTCACAATTTTTCACTTGGCGTCGTGGTAGGTAAAAGGATTATAGCCAGAAATTCTTCATGGAGAAGAGGAGAGGAATCGATGATAGATCCTAAATTTTTAAGGAAAGAGCAAAACATGAAAAGGAGGTATCCGTTAAACAGAGTCGTAGCCAGCGGGAGGGCGGCTTTCCCCGTTGACTTTTGAAAAAATGATTTTTTTCCACTGAATCCCATCAGAAAGAGTTGCTAATTGATAAGACTTCACACTAATATCTTCTAAAGGCAAAAATATCGATCTCTCCTTCGCAAAAATTCTGGCTACAGACCTGCCGTTAGAGAAAATAAAATCCTGCTAAACCAAAATTGAATAGTTTTTTCGGAAGGGAGAACGGTAGCCTTCTTCGTCTTCCTCTAAAGTCATCACTGAGCAGAGCAAATCGACTGGATCCGTGATAATTAGTTTATTTCTTGCTCTTGAAAGAATCGATTTAAAAATAATTACCTATTTATCGTTATAGGACATCGTCGTGAAATGTTATCATATATTACAATTTGTATTTTTGCCTTCATGACTGGTGTGGAATATGCTGGTAGTTGAAATAAATTTAAATATTTTCTCGAATTAGATAAACTTGTATATAATATAATTCAAGTTATGTTCATTTTAGTAATACTACCAACGGCGTTTGATTATGTTAAGTTACAACTAAAAAGCACTGATATATACTTAGGTTTGGTATTATCATCATACAGTATCTCCGGTAGTATTGCCGGTATTATTTTGGGAAAAATATCAGATATTACAAAAAAAGTGAAATTATTAATATTAATAACAAATGTATTTGAAATAGTTGGAAATATTCTATATTTTCTTACGAATAAAATCTCGATTGTTCTCTTGGGACGATTAATTGCCGGAGTGGGAATGGGAGCTGTTCCTCCTGTGAGTATTTTAATAATCAATGAAAACATGTTTTAGTCTTTTTCTATTTGTTTAGATTCTTGCAGATATTGCCCATCGAACAACAGAAGTAGATAGAACAAAAGCAATTTCAATTATTCTTGGATGTCGACAATTAGGTAAATATGTGAATATACTAACTGTATTAAATTATAAGTATATCGAATTTTTGTTTTTAGGATTGCTTGTGGGACCATGTTTCACATTGGTTATTCGATCAATGAATTTTAATATAGGTATGTAGATATCTGTAGAAGCATTTCATTTCCATGTTCACATTATTTTGAATATTTAGGTTCAGTCAATGTAAATCGCTATAATGGTCCTGGATTTTTGATGGCCGTCGTATGGTTTTTCTTACAAATTATTTGTTGGTCTTGTTTTTACGATCGTCAACCGGAAACCACCAGTGGACCATCGTCGAATGGTCTTAAAAATAATGATTTACCCAAACATAAATATTATCGTTCTGGTGAAGAAGATCAAAAACAAATACAAACAGAAGAGTTACAACAACAACAACAAAAACAAAAACGACAATCATTATCGTGCAAAATTTATTGTCAGCAATATTTTCGTGCTGAAATGTTAGTATTATTTTTAGCCACATTTATTACGTATTTTAATCAGACAGGTAAACACGTTGCGTACTCTATTTTTCTATTTGTGTTTATAAAATTAATATTTTAGCTCTTGAAACGATCGTCGCAGCATTTACAGAAAAACAATTTCATTGGAACCAAGTTCATATCTCGATATTATTTGCATTTGCTGGTCTAGAAATAATTGTTGTTTATTTGTGTCTGGTTAAAATATTTAGTAAACGTTTTGAAGATCGTATGTTATTAATATTCGGTTTTATATCATTAACTTTTGCTTGCGCATTAGGAGCATTTTTTACATGGACTATTAATAAATCAGGCCACAGTAACAGTTTATTAGCAATGTTTATTATATTTGTTTTTTTTGATCTATTGGGTTTACCGTTTATAGCGGCAACAAGTGTATCGTTATTTACAAAATTAACGATTAAAGAATTACAAGGCTTCTCACAAGGTGTTCAACGATTAGTAATGGGCGTTGGTACAATCATTGGACCATTGTTTGCATCAGTATTGTTAAATCGTTTGCATATTATGATGACAATATTATTATGCATGACAGTTTTAACGTTAATATTCATTTTTCTTGTCCTACGTCGATTAATACCAATGACAAATAATGTTGAAAAACATATAAATAATAGCAATAATTTAGTGGAAGAAAATGGACAACAAATAGCATTTCCTTTATCCAATAACAATAATAATTGTTATGTGACATTATCTCGAGATGATAATGGTCATGATGAAGAAAATTGTAAATTATTGAACAATAGTTCAACATTATTATCAACAAGTATTTCAGATTCTATTGAACGAGAAAAAAAGTCAAATGAAATTAATGAAGAATGTAGAACTAGATCACCAACTATTTCTCATAGTAATGTTGGCTCGTCAAAATTTGATACGAGTTCAACAAATTATATTTGTCAATTGTCAGATGAATTAGTAAATTCTAATGGAAGTGATTCTGTTGAACGTAGTTAAAAATTGGAAGGAGATTCTAACACATCATTGTTTATTTGTCATTCTATCGAGTACATGACATTGTCCTAGTCACGAAAATGCTTACAAAATCTTAATTGTTTTACTGAGCGACCTACAGGAATTTATTTGAAGTTTTTCTAATGATCTGAACTTTCAGATAAGAAGAGTGTCCAAAATTACACAATTTTTGAAGAAAGAGTGTAGATCTTTGTTTTTCCTCACCAGACATCTCATGATTAAAACTACATGCAACAGGACAATAAATTCTGTCTTCTAAGTTTCGACAAACACCATGTTTTATTATTCTTGTAGTTTGGGCTTGTTGATTTTACTGTACGTTTGTTAGCTTACTCTTTTTCTGGTACAAATTTTTTTCTATCTAGTCATTTATTTTTTAAAAGCAAAAAACAGTATAGTTTTATTTACCTTATTTTTCATTTCTATCTTCCGCTCAACATCAATACAAATAACTTTTACCTTGTGTTTTTTTCCTCTCGCGTTTTTTCAAACAGTATCTGTCTAAACAGACGTTTTTGCTCAAAGTTACTTTGTAATGATTTTTTTGTAGAATTGATTTGAAGCACATAATATTTTTTCTCCAATGAGGTTGTTTATTTTTTGTACAATTCTCTCTCTCTCTCTCCTTATGTGCTGATATGAACGAAAGAAACAGTGTGACTCCGAATTTTTCTTGCCGGACAAAATACATAGTAGAGTTTTAAGTTTTGTCATCTTCTATTGAACAAAAAATAAATTGTTACTTTTCTTTTTGATAGATTTATCTTCTGAAAAACCCTGTTTTATTTCTCATCGGATCTATAATTTGTTCTTTATTTCTATCGTGTTTTACAATCGTAACGTTAATGTCGCATTGTTTTTGTGACTTTTTTTCTGATACACACTTTGTGTATCTGTCTTACTTGTACACTTTTACATTTGAAAGTACTTTTAACAATCATATGTGTGTATGAATATTTAAATATTGCCAAATAAAATCAAAATAGAATACATCTAAATGAACATTAGAAGGGAGTTTTTGTGACATTGAGATATTGATAAGACTCATAGAAATTGAATGTTTTGTATACAGTCAATGTACTTTTGAACTCTAAAGTGTTAATTATTATCATTATTTTATAAAGCACATCAAGCTTAATTATATTATGAACTCTGAATAGTTATTGTAAAATAAACAAAGATCATACAATATACCCAATCAATTTTTTAGCAATGAAAAACGATTACAAATAAACATGAATAAACAAAAATTATTCATAAAATCTAACAGACAATAGTTAACCATTCTATATTTTGCTTGACTGGTGGATTTTCTAGTCACTCTTCCGTAATAGAACTAGTTGTAAGAGATTTAATGAACTGCCTACTGTAAATGGATCACTATCAAAATATCTTCTTATTTGAGAACGGAGCTTCTAGCCACAGAATCTCATTCAATCTACAATGACTTGAATATTGTTCAGAGTTTTGTCAAAATTCAATGTCTTTGATCTGCTCTAGTTGGTAGAGAATGCCGATAACAGGCAGAGCATAAACTACAATTGCTCAACTACAATTCTCACGAAAAGTACCATTCCGATTTAAAGTTCTAATTCTAATGTTTTAAAAATAGCGCGCAATTGTTGGTCTAAACTTGTTTTGTTTCGGTACAATTTCTCGCTTGGTTTTAGACACCATTGGTTCAGAGAATTTATTATAAAACTGTCAGGAGCAGTTAGAAGTTTTTGATACTCTCTGAACTGGATGTATTTAGAAGAACGATTATTTGGTTCTTCAACTTTAGAAAATTAAGCATTATCCACATTTAACTATTTCTTGAAATTTTTTTTTAATACTTAACAGGCACTAAAATTGCCCTACTATCCATCCCAAAATACAAGACCCGTGAGCATTTTTTTGAATAACTTTTGATAGGAATGAGATAGAGATCTACGATTTTCGCTGTTCAATAGCCAAGACTTGAGCAGAACTTTTCACAAGTGGAAGCAACTT